AGGGTTTCTCTGTGTAGCTTTGCGCCTTTCCTGGAACTCACTTGGTAACCCAGGCTGGCCTCGAACTCACAAAGATCCACCTGGCTCTGCCTCCTGAGTGCTGGGATTAAAGGTGTGCGCCACCACCGCCCGGCTCACATTTGTATTCTTAGAGCAGCCTGTCCAAGTGTGGAAGCTTCTGATTTCATGTCCCCTCAGCTTTGGGTTCTGTAAACGGATGTTTCCATGTCCCGACCGTCCAGTCCCAAATAACTGACTCAGAGGCTGAATATGAACTATCAGTGCTCTGCCAATATCTCAGGCTTATTACTAATTAGCTCTTACACTTAAATTAGCCCATAATTCTTATCTACGTGGCTTGGTACCTTTTCTCAGTACAGCATTCTCATCTTGCTTCTCTGTGTTTACTGGCTACTCTTGACTCCGCCCCCCATCTTCCCAGAATTCTCCTAGTCTGGCTCTCGTGCTCAATCTCTTCCTGCCCAGCTATCAGCCAATCAGCTTTTTACTAGCAAAAAGAGTAATACACTTTCACAGTGCAGAAAAGGATAGTTCCACAGCAGTGTTCAACGTTTGCTCTTTCAGACTGAAAGACAGTTCTGGGTGCGCTTTCAACAACCTGTACCCATCCAGATTCCGTGCAGAGGATGAGCTGTCATTTAAGACTGATTAGAGGCCCTGCATGGCTGAGAGGTAGAGAGGGATGTGCCCACATATGAATTGCTCATACTGTTCACTCAGAAAATGGTGAATGGATGGGAGGTGATGAATTAATCAGCATTCCTTTACTGTAACAAATACTGAGAAAGTCTATTTAGAAGGACATCTTTATTTTGGCTCATGGTGTTGGAGGTTTCAGTTCTTGGAACACCAGTGTAGCAAGAGAGTGTGTTATGGTGGGAGCACATGGCAGAAAGAAGTAGATAGTGACTGGGAGTTGCTAGGGTCCTAACGGCAAGTTCCCAATGACCTACCTTCCTCTAACTAGGTCTCACCTCTTATAGGTTATGTTATCTCTCAATAGCACCATGGTCTAAAGACCATACCTTTAACAACTGGGTCTTCAGGAGACATTTATCCAAACCATGGCAAATGATGAAAAGACATCCACACTCCTTTATTCAGTCAGTTACTGTGTTTTAGAGACGTGTGATCGATCCATAGCAATGATCTTTAAACTCACTGCCAGGATCTCATTTTAATTGTGCTCCAACAGTGCATTTATTTCTGTGTAAGTGCACTCACGGGCTAATCTACTAACACTGTGGTCAAAACTATTAGCAGCATCCCATGGTTCCTTCTTTCCTGGTTCCTTTGTATAGCATTCCCCAATGGACACAAGACATCCCAGAACAGACTACATTTCCCAGGAACCCTTGCAGCTAGTTGTGGCCATATGACTCAATTCTATCCAATGGAACTCCAGAGTGAGGTGTCATTTCAAGACGTGTCCCAGTGGGAAGGTTACAGTTGTTTCCTTCTTCTTCCACTGCCCAGAATGTAGACATACTGCCTGGACCATGAGGGTCACCTCAGATAAAGAAGTGGAAGCCACATGTTGAGGATGTCAGAGCATCAGAGAAGACAGTGTCCTAGCTCCAAGCAGCTCACTACCAGGCTCCACTTAGATGACACAAATTCTTGTTTAAGTCATTGTTGTCTTATACAGTCTCTTACTCTGGTCTTACCTGATAGAACTGTGTATATTGTAATACACATACCACAAAATGTATAAAAGGGAAAATGTAAGCATGATGTATATCTTTATAAAACAAAAGTTATGTTAGAAAACTCCAGAAAATCTAGTGTGTTTTGCTCTCCACTGGACAGAGTCTCACACCCCTCTGGGATCTGAGGCTGCATCTCTCCCATCCACTTCAGACATCTCTGGTCTCCTTGGCCCTTGCTCTGTGAGTCTTGTAAATCTAGTTATATTTGGGAAGTTATTGTCCCTTCTCCTCTGAATACACTTTGCTCTCGAGGCAGGGACCCTAAAGTTCCTTGACTCATCCAGGAGAGCCAGGGCAGAATTCCTCTCAGGCAGAGCCTTGGCTAGATTCTCCGGGTCTGTTTCTAGAGTCTGACCTTGCTGAGGAGAGAGTCTGGTGGGACTGGTGAGAAGCTGTGTGATCTGAATCCACAGAGGTGGGCAGTCTGTGCTGCCAGAGGCACAGATGTGCTGGGAGCCCATGCCGATGCTGCTGGTATGGCGCGCCCGCCCACTCACCAACTTCTCCCAGCAGGCAGGCATGTGACTATGCCCTAACTGGTCACAAGACCGCAAGGGAGGAGAGGAGGCTGGGAGGAAAGCAGAGCTCCCAGCTCTGAAAGCCTTCCCCAGACCTAGGCCCTTCGGTCGGGAGGCCGGGTCAGGGGCATACCCACCTCTCCTCATTAGAAATGATCAGAGTGGAATCAATACCAAAATTCTGAGGCAGGGGGGTCTAGACAGCACCCCACTCCCATGCAGCCTGAGCCTGGGAAAGTGAGACCCACCCGGAGGTCCTTTCAGCGTGGGGCAAGTCCACCCTCCCTCTCCCCGCCCCCCAGCTATGTGTCCCGCTGTGTCACAGCTTCTAAACTCCCTGATTCACACCAAGGTTAGTCAAGTGCTGTAGGCTGCCTGCTCCTCCCCCTCCCGCTCCACTCAGCGATTTAATCACCGCACCCGTGCAGAGCAGAGGGCCACGTGTGAAGCAGAGGGGCCAGGGAAAGAAGGGGCTAGAAGTGGGAGAAGGCTCCCAAAACCAGAGGAGGCCCTTGAGAAAAATTAGGGATGATCACATTATGAAAGCAATGTATGGCTTGGTTGTTAACCCCGGGGGCAGGTGGGTGGTAAAGGGGGCAGACCCTGGAGACTGATGAAGGAGGATGCAGCTAAGAGGCGAGGGTGCAGCTAGGAGGCGAGGATGCAGCCAGCCCCCATCGCAGCTTCATCTGTTCGCCTACACAGCTAAGTAGCCAGGCGATCATGTGATTCTCTGGTAACTATGGCAACCAGCCCTGTTTCATGGAATTCATGGTGAGAAATCACATAGAAAGATCCCGGCGCTGGGCTCCGTGCTGTGCCCAAGAGCAGCTCCCCTCCACCTGGGTCTGTCCTCTGGGGCTGCAGGGGTACTCGGTGACACTGAGATGCTGAGCAGCTCTCCTCTGAGCTGGAGACATTGGTTCTTCTTGTTCTGCTGATACTTGCCTCCCCTTTTTTGGAACAGTCCCTGAAGATGAGAGACAAAAATAACACTCTCCCAAGGAGACGATGCTAATGCACATTCTGTGCTTTCAGAGATGGGGCTCTATAGTGAGGCACCCACCTCCAGCAGCTCAGCAGTGCCAGGGGTCAACATTCTGGTCTCTGCCAGAAAAGCTGCGGGGAAGTGGACTGCACAATGGGAAGGCGGTGCTCGAGGAGGCTCTGGAACCCAGCGGCCGGCCAGCAGCCCCTGCCCACAGGCACAGCCCGAGGAGATGGCTGTAAACGAAGAGCACGATTATAATGTGGTGAAACACGCGTTAGGGGATTCAGCACCCAGAAGGCATGTGGCTGCTCCCGAATAATGTCTGTGCGTGTGGCAGGCTGAGTGGCGCCGTGGCAGGCTGAGTGGCGCCGTCCCCGCCAGCCTCTGGGAGGCACGCGTTTTGCAGGCTGCCTTTTCAGGGGGCTGCCATAGCTGACTGGACTGCAGCTGACCTTGAACGAGTCGGTCTCTTCAGGTGTCAGTTTCTCTGAACAGGGAGCGTGGTCGCTGTGTGAGCTTCCTGGGCTCTGGCTGTGATCATGCTTCGTAACATGGAAAAGTACCAGGTACTAATCACACAAGAAAATACGTTTAAAACGGTGCATCATTGTAAGGTCTCCCTCCTCCTCCCTTCCCACCCTCCCCTCCTCCTCTCTTCCTTCCCCTCTTCTTTTCCTCTCCTCCTCGTTCTTGTTCATCTCAGAGGTATTTATTCTGAAAAGATTCAGCAAGCTGGATGCGTGACTATGAAAGCTACAGCAATGCAAAACCACGCATGTGGCTGCAGTGAGACTCCAGCTAGCATTCAGCGTGTACAGAGACAGTTCTGTTTTAATCCCAACCGTGCCCCTATGGAAGATCCAAAGGTGCCTAGTCAATGACAGAGTCAGGATCTAGTCCTGGCCGCTCTGCTTCCCACCAGAAGCATCCTCTGTGCTATTGAGGTAACAAGGCCAGGTAGTTTTCTGGGAGCTCCCGAATGCCGTGGTACATCTGTGCATCTGCCTGCCTGCTTCTTTGTTTGAGGGTACCCATTGTCCCGTGCTGAAGTGACGACCTCTTAGGGTGCATGAGGAAGACTTCGGGCTGACACCGGCATGCTGTCGTTTACCATGGCTTTAACCGTGAGAAGGGAGGT